TTAAATTAAGTAAAATATCATGTTAAAAATGATTTATAATTAGTATAGCAAGAAAAATATTATATATAAAGAGTCAAGAAGTGATCAAGAAGGATAATTAAGTTTGATAAAAAGAATTAACTACTAAGTTAAAAATAGTTAATTAGTATTTTTCTTTAATAAAATACATATATTTTATCCTATATCTTATCTTGTTTTTTTCTTGCTCTATTGAGAGAGCATTTTGATTAAAAATAAATTTACATAAATTATTTTATTAAGAAGATAAATATATTTTTGTCAGAAGTAAATCTTGCTTATATTATCTTATTAAGAAGATAATCAGTTATATAATCTCTTAAAGCTATAAAAAAAGTAAATAACTACTGAGAATACTGTCACTATTATTATTTTAAAATAATTATATATGTATAATCTTAAAATGATAATAATATTATCAATATTTAGAAGTTAAAAAAATTATTCTAATTAAAGATTAATTAAAATAATAATATCAAGATTACTAATATAGTTTATAAAATTATTATTATTATTGGTATAAAAATAAAAAAAAATAAATTATAAAGATTATAAATTATACTTTATCAATAATAAAGAGAAGAAGTTTATTATCAATTTTATAGAAAAAGATAAAAAAGAAAGTACTTATTTATTATAAATTAATTTTCAAAAAGAAGAAGTTTTATCTCTAGATGTAAAAAAAAATAAGAAGTTCTTTTATTCTATTATCTATCTTGAATACTATTAGAATATAGATAAGAAACTATATCTTTTTATATTCTCTTAGAAGCATATTAAGTTAAAGAAAGATGAGTTTTTTTTTCTTATTTTTTATAATATTTGAAAAGTTTAACATTACTTTATAAAATGTATAATTCTAGTTTCAGTAGTCATAACTTAATTCTGAAAGATATCAGAACTAATTGATATTTAGAATATAAAGTTACTTAATCTGCTGATTATTAGTTAGATGATCAAGAATATAATAAAAATAATAATAACTTATTTTTAGTTCAAGAAATAGATAGAAAAAGTAACAGAGTTACTAACAAATAAGATTGAGATATGACTAATATTCTATGAATGCTAATAGTTAATAGAAATAAAATAATAAAGAAAATAATGATATAATATTACAATTATCTTTTATACTATTTGATTCTCAAAATTTTGAATTTTAAGAAAGAAAAATCATATAACAATATTCTATATAATTAGATAATAATTATTCTTATAATTCAAAATAATAATAATATAAATAAAATAGATATAAAAAAACAAAAAATAATAAAAGAAATAATACTTTTAATTCAATAGCAAAACAAACTTATCTAATAATAACAAAGAAAAATAAAAAATAAATATTTGTAATAAAATAATATTCTTATTTATTTAAATTCAAAAAGAAACTATATTATTAATAATATTAAAATAAATAATAAAAAAATACAGTTTTATTATAGAAATAAAGAAAAAATTAATTATAAAATAGTAAATAGATATAAAAATCAAATTAATATAAAAAATATTAATAAAAATTATATGGCTAAGTAATTATCTAATATGATATAAGATTATATTAATTTCTAAATCAGCAGTAATATAATTAAAATTATAGAATTATATATTATAGCATGAAAATTGAACATGAAAATCAGCCTATATTACAGATTTATTTATTTAAAAAACTCTCTTTTATATAATCTTTCTGAAAGTATATTAATTTAAAATTTTTGTAATTTTAATTAATTATATTATATTACTCTTTAATTTAATATATTTATCTTATATTATACTTATTTATAAAATATTATTTATTATAAATAATTACATTTAATTATATAATAGAATTTATATTTTTTTTATTATTCATTTAAACTTTTTCAAATACTATTAATATATAAATCAAGAATAAAAATTATCTTGAAAGATATTATTTTAAAAATAATTATTATAATATTATCTAATAGAAGTATTAATTATAATATATTTTGATCTAATTAAGAAATAGTAAATACTATTATAATTATAAATTTAATAAAAGAGAAATTATTTCTCTATAATAAATTTTTTTAAATAATAACTGGAAATTTGATATCTTGATATTGAAAAATTATTAGCAGAGCTAATAAATATTTCAACATATTTCAGAATAAGTAATTCTAAATCTAAGAAAATTATTATTAATAAAGTTAAGAAAAATGACTAATAATAATTTTGAAAAATTATTGAGTCTTGTAAAAACTTGATATTCAGTCTTAAATTTTGCAAAGCAAAATACTAATAAAGAGAATTCTGTTGCAATATGAATTTTTAATAGAATATTAACTAGCTATATATTATTATTTACTTTATATTATAATATAATTAAATGAATAATTATTTATATTTTATTAAATATTAACTTAAAAAATATTATTTGTAGATATTTTTAGAAAATTTTATAAATATAATAATTATAGTAAAATTATTATAACAAAATTAATAATATTATCATAATAAAATTAATATTATAATACTAACTAAAATAATATTTAAATTATAACAAAAGTAATATAAGTATTATAATAAAAGTATTATTTATATAATCTCTAAAATATATAAAAATGATATATTTTAGCTATAAAAAAGATAATTCATTAATCAGTTAGATAGTTAGTTAATTAATTAATTTAATTTAAGTTTTATAAATTTAATTTTCAATTTATATTTTAAATAGATCATAATTTAAAGAGAATTCTAAGAAATATCTCTTGTAAAATAAATCTTGATTAAGATTTATTATTTTATTTTATTAATAAACTAATTATTATATCTATTTTTAAAATTATATTTTGAAATTGAATTACATTTTAGCTAATTAATCTAAAGAATACTATTATTATCTATCTTTAGAAATTATCTTTAATAAATCTTTAATAAAAAAGAATATTCTTATTAATATACTATAAAAAATTCTTTGATATTATAATTATTAGTAAAAATATATATTTTTGATAGTTTAAGAATTATATTTATCTTTTATATTAATACTTATATTAAAAGAATAATAATATATTAAAAGTTTAATTTTTATATTATCAATAGGCAGAATTTTAGAAAGATTATAAAATTAGAATTTATATAAAAAATTTTGATATATAATTTAAGAATCTTGCTATTTTTGTATTTCTTTTTTCTATTGCAGAAAAGACAAATTATATAAGTTTAGTAATTCATTTTTTTATCTATATTAATGATAATTCTTCTTTAAAAATAATTCTTTAACAAGTTTATTCTATTAATTTAATAAAGAAGATCATTATCTTACTTTTGATAAAGTATTAGAGACTTTTAATATGAAATTTATTAAGCAAAATATTAAAGAAAATCTAATAAATCAAGAAAATTTATTATTTTAAATATAATCTGCTCAAACAAAATAAGATATGTTACCTTTAAAATTTCTTAATAATCTTATTTATAATAAAGAAAATTATAAAATTAATAATCAAAAAGAAGCTTTATAATTATTAATAATGTAATTTATTAAAATATTTTTATTAAAAAATTCTATAATATATATATTTTTTAAATATAATTATAAATAACTATATCTGATTATTAAAAAATATTTACTTGTTATAAAACTGAAATTACTTATTTTATTTTAATTTTAAAAGAAGATATTTATAAAACTAAATTATAAAATACAATTGAAAGATAAATATTAATTCTTCAATATTATAAATATTTAAGCTTATTAACTTTTATTAAATAAGAAAAGAAAAATAAAAAAAATATTCAAAAATTTCATTTGAATTAAAATACAAAAGACATAATAACGAATCAAAAAAAGTAATATTAATATAAATATTTGTATTTAAATAACAAAATATTTTATCTAATGAAATAATTAAAAAAATAATAAAAGAACTAGATTAGGATGAAAATAAAATTAAAATATATTGAAAAAATTATTATCAAAAATTCAAGTAAATATTAATATTTTTAGAATTTAATTTTATTTTTAATTTTATATTATTTAAATCATTCAATTTTTAGATATTTCTTTATATATTTTGATATTACTTTATATATTTAGATAAAAGAAAATAATAGATCTTATTACTAAGACTATTATTTTGAAGACTAAAATTTTTAATAAATTGCAATATTAATTTATTTATTTTGTAAAAATATAATTAGTTTTATTAAAAGATTAGGATAAAATTAGATTTAAATTTTTTATAGGAAAGATGCTTATTATCAAAGTAATTTGATATATAATTTTTTAATAACTATCATATACTATAATTATTAAGTCTTTTATTCAAGAAAATACTTTAAAATCAAAATTAAATTCTTCATTTATTAAAGATATATAATCTATGTTGTATTCATTTATATTTTTAATATTAATATTAATGCAAAAATAATCTTGTCTAATAATAATATTATTATTATAAAAATTGGTTATATTCAAATTAAAATTTTCATAACAGTTTTAGCCTGTTAAGAAAAAAAATATATATTTCTAATAGATAAAAGATTTGTAATGAAAGTTTATTAATAAAGTAATTTTTCTTGCATTTTATCTATAGAAAAATTTGATCGTCATACAACATCTCTATAATAAATGGATTTGTCTCAATTTTAGCGTGACATTTACACTGACCGTTATTCGATAATTTCTTTCTTAATTATTAGCATGATAAATTTAATATTTTCAATCGAGTTTTTTCTATTCATTTTAGGTTTGTATCATGTATTCAATGAAGATTCTCAGAGGAACTAACAAAATTGTTTACTAAGACATGTCGCGTGTAAATAGCTGTCAATGACGTGTTTTTACACAGATCCCTGTATGAAAATAAATATCACTATTATTAATGTATTTGATCATCAATCGGCTGGGTCGGATACGATCACCTCATGTGATATAGCCACATTTTTTTTAACCATGGCTGGGGTATTACAAGTGCATTAAAAGACGTAACTCGCTTTTCTTACGGAAATAGACAACCACGTCAAAAATTACAAAACATGGAAGACTTGTCATTTTGGATCAGATCACCCACAAAAACCGATTCTGCTGCTGCTATTTCTTCTGCTTCTAGTAAACCAACAACACCCTCCCCATCCCCATTTAAAACAGCTACGACGATCGCTGCTCCTACAACTACTGTTATTGATCACATTGTTCATTTTACGCAACAATGTAATAAACAAGATGAACATGTTGGCTTTGAAGAAAAGGAAGACCAGTGTGTATATCAGGGCAAAGATGACGATGATGCTATTTTTGATTCTTTGTTTGAAAATGATGAGGATGATGACACTATTACGAAGAAGAATAATAATGATGATGGTGATGAGTGCGACTACACCGCAGCAATAATAAATAATAATAATAATAATAATACTGATAATAATGACTACATTATGGCATGTAGTAGCAGTAATGATAATAATAATAATAACAATAATAATAATAATAATAATAATAAGAAGAAGAAGAAGAAGAAGAAGAATAAGAATAATAATAATAATAATAAGAATAATAATAATAATAATAATAATAATAAGAATAATAATAATAATAATAATAATAATAACAATAATAATAATGATGATGATGATGATGATGATGATGATGATGATAATGATGATGATAATAATGAAGGACCATTTTTTCTGTTTGAAAAGGAAGATGATATGTTTGAACATGGTATTGAGGAAAGTGCAAAAATACAGCATCGATATCTTGAGTTATCACCATCTGTTTTTTCGAAATCATTAGAGAATGAACGAAAGTTAGAGAGCAAGCAAAAGGAGAAGGAACAACAAAAATCACTTGAAGAAACACCAATAAACACCACCATCCTTAACTTGGAAAAACCATACGAAAACATTTATGTTTCTATTCCTTGTTTGGCTGATTTGCCTGATCACCCAAGACCGCCAAAGCGAAAAGCTAAAGACATTGAAGAAGATGATGAATACGGAGAGTATGGAGAAAATGATAGTGCTAATGATAATATTGATGACGATATTGCTTATAATATTAGTAACAATCAATCTAATGATAACAGTAATAACATTCAAAGTAATAACAATAATAATGAGGGCAGGAATAATAGTAATAATAGACGACCAAGAAAGAAACTTAAACTTATGAACGCGCAAGAAATGCACTTGACTGCTCTGGAAGAAGCAGAGGAACGTCGAGAAGTCGAGGAAATTGTAATACAGGAGGATCTAGAGCACTTACATGAGTTTAACTTTTTGGAGTTGATAGAATGGATGTGGGATTATTATTCGTAGTAGTCATGATAGTGATGATGATAATGGAATTCTGTTTTTTCTTTTTTTTTTTTGGTGTAGAATCATGTTAAGTTCCCTCATTCACTCTTGATATTAACAATTAAAACATATAGGCCACACCACAAATCGAAAAGTGTCAAGACTAAACACGATTTTTTTTTACTATATAAATTCTCAGCATTTTGGTAAAATAAATGAATAAATAATGAATGTACACATAATTTAATTTAATACATAAATAACTTTGCTTGAATATAAAGTCATATAGATAATCAACATTATATCGTTAAACAAACAAAAAAATCACTCATTCAACACACGGTCCAAATTAAACGCAGCTGGAAAGAAAATCAAAAAACTTAAATTAATTTTGAGGACTATAAATAAAACAACACAAAAAAAACATACCACTAATAAACGAAATATGCGTGAACGCCTGCGGGAAATTTCCCAACAACTCGCCCGACCGCGAAATCTCTTCGGAGAAAAGTCCCAAATGACTTGTGTATCCAATCATCTGTTCAAAGATGAATACGGCACGCTCGAGTAAAACTGAGTCGTATCTGCCGGCGCGTGTTAATGCTTCGACTAGCCAGAAAGTGCACATGGAGAATGAACCTTCTAAACCGCCCAAGCCTTTTGGTTTAATAAAAAAAATAGGTTAATATTGTTAATGTAAAATCAAAGTGTTATATCGTTGGTAAATTTGGAAATGTTACCGTCATCCGTGGTAAGATAATTATAACGAAATACGAGGTTATTGACTAACAGACCACCTAATAATGACAAAAATTATTATTATTCTTTCAAAAAAAAATTTAAAAGCAGGGAAAAATTACCCTTCTCAGGCGGCAACAATATTTTTTGAATAGTGCTCAAAAATCTCGGATCAGTCGGACTAATAAAAAACACCAACGGCATAATCAACACCGCCGAATCCAACGCATCAAAAGCTTCATATGATTGCGTGAACATTTTCCGTTCGGGGTTCCAAGCTTTCTGCATTATTTCTTCATAGATTTCGTCGCGGGTGTTCATCCATCGTTCTCGTTGTCCTTTTTGACATGGGAAGACGCGTTTTTCTGACAATCGGAGCGCTAGATTATATATTAACATGATTTTATTTATTCAATTAGCGAAAACGAAATATGCAAACAAACCAGATGTATAACCATTACCTCTATCTACTGCAACCCAACACATTATTTTTGAGTATGTGAAATTCTGTCGTTTTCCTCTAACCTCCCAAATACTCATATCATCCATCCTCCAGTTATCGCATACGTAATCGGTCAATTTTCTTACGCTTACCCATAAATCATAAGATACTGGTGACCCATGTTTATTATAAAGATATCTATTAAAAAAGAAATTAATTAGTTTAATTGAGTGAATTCGAAAACTCTATTTATATCTAAAATATTTGCAAAAATAAATACATTGCATCCATTAATTCACCATAAATATCTAGAAATATCAAAGAATAATTTATAGTCAAATATTATACCTTATCTACATATATATATATATAGATAAAAACACAATAATATTCCCAATTAGAGAACATAATAAACTAATTGAGAAATAAGCATTACATTACCTAGTTGGATATGATCATAGGCACCATTTCCGATTCGTACAGGACGCGAACCACGGTAACCATCAAGATGGTCTAAAGTCAGTTCGGTCAATTTCTTTTCTCCATCAATGCTATACATTATGTTTAACGATCCGTCTTCATTCTAGTAATTATTTTGTACGTAGTTAATATAATTAGTGTTATTCTATGTTAAATAAGTAAAAGTAACTCACCAAATCTAAACATCTTTTTTCCATGAATTGCATGTAATGTTTAGCTTCCTCGGTCATTCCAAGACGCATTAATGCATATACCGTAAATGCACTATCTCGTACCTTATTAAAATATTTTAGTTTAGATTCAACAAAAAATCTTGATTTAGATATTCGTTCCCTTACCCAAGTATATCGATAATCCCAATTCCGAGGACCGCCGATTTCTTTTTAGAATTAATCAGAAATTAATGGCATAAAAGTTATACAAAATCCGGTTGAATTTTTTTTTACCTTCAGGTAGACCAAATGTAGGAGATGCAACAACGGCCCCTGTCTATAATTGAGATCAAACATAGTCAACCAATAAAGAAAATTAAGAGACTTTTTTTCTTGTAAAATCAAGAAAGTAATAAACAAAAATAAATCACAGACCGGTTCATAAGTCAATAACTTTAAAGTCAACGCACTGCGATTAACATTCTCTCGCCAACGACCTTTATAAGAAGAATGACTAATCCAGTTCTGCCAGAAATTTGACGTCTGACGAAATAGTGCTTTCATTAATGGCATCGTTAACGGCGGATCGATAAGCCTCAACGGCAAATTTTTGTGATAAGCTTTTGAATTCATCGTATCAGGAATTTCGCGAAGAATAAAAATGATTTGTTGATTTTCTTTTAACGTGAATTCCGTAACAACGCCAGGTCCCTTAAAATGATCCCTACTAACAATCTTTAAATCAAGTTTTGGCAACTCATTTTCACCGATATCACCTTGTTTACAGATGAACCTCAGATCAATTTTCAAATCTTTCGAGTTGAAGCAAACACGTTTTTCACCAACAACGGACAACGACGGGACTTCCTCTTCGAGAAGATCCTGAACAAGTGAAGAATCTACCGCGTAGTCAACAATTTCGGTCGTGTGAGAGTCCAAGGCGTAGTTAAACGCCGGGAATAACTCCAGTTGAAAGTCAACTTGACCGCGAACAACTTCCAAGGTTCTTATGAGCCATGGTTGAAGTGGTTTTAGTTGGAGTCGTTGACCCTTCTCTGGAATATGCATGTAGTCTATTATTTGACTGACTCCTTCGTCAGATAGAAATCTCGTGGATAGTATATTGGAGCTTGGTAGATATTGTTGTTTGTTGCTGGTGTGTGATTTTGGTGTAATTGAGAAATGACCTCCCTTTAGCGTAATAATTGGTAATGTTATTATTATTTAATTTGATGCTGAAACACAAACTGATTAAAAAACTTATGTTAATTGATTGATACTTTTTCACTATCCAATAAACGCAAAAATAACGAAGGACTATCAAATTTTGGATAACAGAAAAAATCAATTGAGCCATCAGTTCCGCAAAGGGCGACTGTTCGTAAATTTCCAATTAAGCCATAATTCTCTATTGGAAGATATCCCCTATAGCAAAAAATTAATAAATTTACTGAAAAGTCGCGATTTAAAGACAAAAATTTCAAGAATTATAAAAACCTTGTACGAATATTATCTCGAGTGTTCTCAATAGAACAGTTTTTACAGACCAATTTTTCCTCTAGTTCTGGCTGCTCGTCAATGCCGTTCATAGTATTAGCGTCGTTTTCGTTTGCTTTTTGACATTTTTCTTTGACGAGTCTCTTTTATAAACATACCGCATTTCTATGACACGTAAAAATAAAGGTTACACTGTTGTGCTACTTATACCAAATTTATCGTTATGAAGTTATGAATACTATGAATAATTGTGGGAATAACTATAAAGACTATCGCTAAATGAATGTGGTAAAAGATCCTACGCCTGGATTATTCATACATATTATTAAGCGTGTGGTCAGCCATTACTATATTGATATTCTATATAGCCGGTTCTTTTTTTTTTCTGAATTTTAATTATCACAAAAAAGCTTTTATTCGTTTTTCGCTATTCAATAAATTCTTGTGGAATTTATTATCTCTCGCGTTAGCACTATCACGACTCATCATTCTTATTTAAACGACATATTTTCGCTGGTGCTTAGAAAACAGCCTTTTCCGGAAAGTATAAGCCTCTCTAAGCCTTATATTCCGCGCCCTCTTAATTATTCATATATTTAAAAAAATATTTTCCTCATCCAAGACGGTTTTATCGCTGTTTTTATTTTCAAAGACACACATTTCATTCATAAATGGAAAATATTCAAAAAATTTATAAAATACGTGGCATTTTATGCCAAATATCAATTTCACAAATTAGCGAATACGAAAGATTTAATATTCCAGTAAAACAATTAAGAACTGGAATATATTAATTTATTCACAGAACAATCTTCTGATACTTTTGTTCTGGTTTTGTCAACTGGAAATTCTAGTTGATAAAAAATTTGTTTATTCACAGAACAATCTTCTGATACTTTTGTTCTGTTTTATCAACTGGAAGATTCTAGTTGATAAAAAATTTGTTAAATAATATCAAATAATATTAGTTTATTCACAGAACAATCTTCTGATACTTTTGTTCTGTTTTATTAACTGGAAGATTCTAGTTGATAAAAAATTTGTTAAATAATATTAATTTATTTATAAAAAAATTATAATATTTGCAACAATGGCAACAACATCAATAGTTTTATTAATAAGTAGCTTATTCTATTTTATAATGATATTTATATATTAAATTTTGTATTATTATTATATGAATTTTTATTAGGAATATTATTTAATTAGTTAATTCATATTATAATATTATTAAATAATTAAATAATTATGTTTTATTAAAGAAGATATTATTTATAAATATTTATAAAAGATTTTATATATATATATAGATTATAATAAAGTTAGTAAAATTATTATAATAAAATTAGTATTATAATATTAATTAAATTAATATTTAAAATATAATAAAAGTAATAAGTATTATAATTAAAATATGAATTTTTAAAATATTATTGTGATATGAACTTTTGGTAGAATATTAATTACTTATTTATTATTAATTATTTCATATCATAATATGATTAAATAATTAATTATTTATATCTTATTAAATATTAGTTATAAAAAATATTATTTACAGATATTTATAGATTATTTTGCAAGTATAATAATTATAATAAAATTATCATAGTAAAGTTAGCAAAATTATCATAGTAAAATTAATAATACCATCATAACAAAATTAATATTATGATATTAATTAAAATAATATTTAGATCATAGCAAAAATAGTATAAGTATTATAATAAAAGTATTATTTATATAATTTTTAAAATATATAAAAGTAATATATCTTAACTAGTAAAAAAATCAAATAATTAGTTAGTTAATTAATTAATTAGTTTAGTTTTCTTAAGTATTTGAGTTCTATAAGTTTAGTTCTCAAATTATATTTTAATAAATTATAGTAAAAAGAATTCTAAGAAATATTTCTTGTAGAATAAATTTAATTAAGATCTATTATTTTATCTTATTAATAACTAACTATTATTTCTTTATTTAAATTATATTTTAAAATTAAATTATATTCTAGCTAATTATCTTATAAATATTATTATTATCTATCTTTAGAAATAATCTTTAATAAATCTTAGTAGAAGAATATATTCTTGTTAATATATTATAAAGAAGCTTTTAATATCATAATTCTTAGTAAAAATATATATTTTTAATAATTTAAGAATTATACTTACATCTAAAGTTAATCTTACATTAAAAAGATAATAACTTTTTAATATTTTCTTTATAAAAATAATTTTAAAAATGATCATTCAAGACAGATTCTATTCAAGATAAAGAATTTTTTGTAAATTAGATAAATACTAATAGAACAAGAAACTAATTAAAGAAATTAATTAATAATATATTAAAGTGAATCTAATTAAAAAAATTAAAATAGAAAGAGAGAGACTTTTTAATCAATTATTTATTGATTTATATCTTAAAAAGTATGATAATTCAGATTAATAAATTATTTGATAAAAGTTTTATTACTTTCATCAAAAATAGAGATATTATCTTAATTAATTATGACTTATGATAGTTAATTAGAGAATTGTGATCAAGTTATAATATCATCTTTAATTAAGATTAAGATTGATAAAGATAGAACTGGAGTAGGAGTTCTAACTAAAATATTAATTGAAATATTAATTCTTGATTGTTAGATATAATATAATTTTTATTAATTGAATATAATAATTTTCTCATATAAATTATAAATAAGACTAGCTATTTACATAGAAATATAGTATATTACAAAAAAAATCATAATTTTTAATTTTTTCATAAATATTTATTTAAATAATATAAAAATTTAAATATATATACTTAAGAATATAATAAATAGCTTATTTAAGACTACTTAAACACTTAGCTTATTAAAATTTTTTATAATTTATATTTTTAAAATTGAGAATTTTAATAATAGAAAACTTAAATAAATTATATAAATAAATTTAATTATTATTTTGCAAATTAATCTTAAGTAAACTTATTTACTAAATTATCAAGTATATATATTTAAAATTTTATATAATTTAAATAAATA